ATATATATATATATATGAACTTGGTCGCTCCTCATTCGCAGCACTATGGGAAGTCAATGAGGCAGTTCGGTGTCGATGTACGGGTTAGTGAAAGAGCTGGGTACGTATTGGTTTAGCAGTGCCCAGCTCTGGACTTCTCCTGGAAATCCGCTTTTCTGTGTGGGCACAGTAACGATGGGAACACAAATATCTAAGCACCTCGCTGTGGGTCTTTCAACTGGTGTGGAGTTTACTGGACTATTCCGTAGCTGAGTGTTCTTAGGTGATGGTTCATAATTGAGAAATGGAAGTCGAGTTTTTCCATCACTTTGCATAATGATTACTCTAGATGTTCTTCAAGTAACCGTTTTGGTTCCTCGCTGCTCGCGGATATATGCCGATCTCGGCTTTCAGTAGGGTAAACGCTGAAGTGCCTTAACAGCGAGGCTTGTTGACTTCCCTAATCAGGCCTTTGAATTTGTTTGACATCGATGCTATACCACTGACAACAGATGATCACTAGCGTTTGATGCTTATTCAATTTGGTTTCGATTGCAGTTCTTCAGAAGCATACCTTAGATGAATGCCTTCTGAAATGTTCTATAAAGCACTCGAAAATAACAGGACTAAAAGCTCCATGAAGTAGCAAGGAATGAATTTTCTGAAATTGCTCTTTTAGGTTTTCTCCAATGCAATAAAAATTCCCAGTGCATGAAACCAACTGATTTTTCCAACTCACATCGACTGATCAATTGGTCGGTTGAGGAATGGCGTCACTTGCTTTCAAAAGTCAATACTTGAGCGTTTAAGCAAATATTTGGCCATGTACAGAGCTAAAATTTCACTGATTGAAGGAAGTCTGGGTTTATCTACAGGGTGAAATTTAGAAAATTGAAGCAGTGAGGGAGGTAACAGCTAAATTGTGAAATAATATTATATTCATGGAAACTTCGACCTCTCTTCTGTACTTGCTTTTTATTGTCTTTTTGACCTATTTTTTCACTGCTGTAAGCACCATTGCCAGAGAGAAACTGAGTAGATTTTGTCCAACCGCCACTTTTATTTCCCTTCTACGCTCGAACTACCATTATACCTTTATAAATCAGATATATCGTCTGCAGACTTTTTTCCTGTGCACCGAGATTCTCACATTTCCTGATTGTTGTAGCGCTTCTTTATTCGGTAAAAGTCACTTGTACTAATTAAAGCACGCATCCTCTTTCATAATTTTTCTTCCGGATTACCGTACTTCTAAGAGTCTTGGCTGAAAAGCAGTTTGCATCGCAGCCACTTATGTGGGCTGAGCAATCGTCAGGATGAACGGCTTGAAGAGGGCCATTGAGCGGCTTTTCACGGGAGACGCCCCTGTAGTCCCATATTGAGCTAAGAGTACCACCCCAATGCTCATTCGCTCCTTCTCAGACCTCTTCCAGGCTCGTTTCCTAAGCGCTCCGTCAACTTATCACCACTTTCGCAGTGCGAGTCCTTTTGTAGTACTCTTAACATGAACGAATAGAAGAAACGAGAAGCTCGAGTGGAGAAAGATCCTCTTCTGTAGCACTCTTCCCTGCGAACTACTTCAACGACGGTGGATAGCTGACACTTTAGACGGCACTAGCATGAGTTAGATACAAAAACTTATCTTCTTATTACCGCGAACTCCAGGTTCGATCGCTATCTTCCCCTCCAATGAATAGCAATTTTCATGGAACTTAGTCGAACTCCTTTCCAACTGAGAGTACCTTGTCAGTGTGCAAGCTGCCAATATGTGGATGAGGCAGGTCTCGACACTGAGGGAGTAAATCAGAGAGTTCCATTATGCAATCAAGACTATGGTCTTGGTATGAGTCCCTTTGGACTACTGTTCAGATTTGCAATAAACATAAAGATAACTGCTTTCTTCACTTGAGAAATTATTTTACAAAGGTATCACTCTGTTTTGTGTGTTTCTATCATGTTTTTCAGTAAAAACACACTTCCAAACCTCTCCACATGCGTGCAACACTTCAAGTCGAAATTGCAGGCTACTACTTCTAGACAAAGACTCATCGCTAAAACTACTCATTCAGCTCGGGTTCAACAGCAACTTCTTAAAATGACGTCTTCACCACTGAACGAGCATTCATTAGCATTTGGCTATCGTCCTGCAGGCACTCTGCCAACGTCGTATTTTGGTGCTACACCCTTTCAAGGATATCAAGGCGATTTCACAAGGTCTATAAACAAAAAAAGCACCAAAATTTTGTATACTAAGCGGCTCATGTGGAATTTTTCAGTTACATGGCAAATCCTGGAACATGGTATGGAGGTGGCGATCCACGATTTGCAGCATGTATGTTGATCTGATAAATTCCTCATATAGATTAGTACTGCTTGAAATACTACGCAAGATTTAGTACTGCCGTGTGGGATCGATCCATCTAGAGCCGCTGTCCATGGCATACAACTACCAATGTCACAACGCCGGAAACGAAGAGTGCTATTTAGTCAGGCTCAGGTGCACCATGATCATTTAAACATTAAATGTTTTCCCAACTAATATAAAATAATTTTTTCCATTATGTAAGCTTTATCCTAAAAAAAACCATAAAACTAGAACTCCTTGTCCTCTACTTCTCATTATGTTTTCTTTCTTCTGATATTTTTTTAGAGGGATGTAATTCTAAGATGAATAAATACATTGCATACAAATTTTCATCGATTTGAAGGTCTATGAATTGGAGCGTCGTTTCAAACAGGCCAAATACTTAACAGCACCGGAACGAGAGCAACTTGCGAATTCGATCCATCTGACTCCGACACAGGCAAGTACCAATTGTCTACCGTATGCAATAGCGAACACCGCCGTAATCCACAGCATAGAAGTTCATTAAACGACACAGAACACAGGGAAAAAGTTAACGAACCGCAGTTATTCCACAGACCAGCCCTAAATATTTCATGTGATTATTAATGTTCATCCGTTGATAAACTTAACATATTGCACAGAAATAAGGTTGAAGTAGAAGAAATCGCTTGAACGCAACGTAAACATGGCATCGTAGCTGCATATTCTGCTCTAAAAATTCTTTGAATGAAGTGAGATAACTTTCTAGAAGTTTCTATTATTAGACATGTTGCAAAAACCTCATGCATTGCATAATATCCATGCATGGGAGTAGAATAAGTGGCAGAAATCTTGCTGATATTGAGTCAAAAAGGCCTTAAGACTCGCGTAGGCAGCTTTTCAGACCAATGGAGTTATAACGTAGGCTTCCGAATGACCTAGGAAATCAGAACTTCTTTATACTTCAAGAGATACTGTAAGATAACATATATGAACGCTAGGTGAAAATCTGGTTCCAAAACCATCGCTACAAATGCAAACGACAAGAAAAAGAGAAGGCGATGACCGGAACACTTCATAATCGAGACGACTCAATCAGTCCTCAATCAGTGGATGCGGATGGGTATGTAGTTAACATATTTTACCAGATATGGTTTGCATTAACATCCAACCGCTATTATGGGTTTTATGATCTAGCACTTCATATCAGCAACACCTCTAAGTCGAACTCAGTAGCAAAAGGGAAGTTGATGCTACCTACACTTGTCGAATTGCATACTCGATCAAAATTCGTTTTTCTTCTCCAAATACTGTGCAAACAAAATAACTGTTCAGGAAGGCATCACCGGAGCTACGCACATCAAAGGAGGAGTCATGTGCAGAGGCGGAGCCTAGCCAATCCACCTCAGAGCCACTGCCCGAGATTAAAAGTGGCATGTTTGCAGCGGTAAGCAGCTCATTCTTCTAACATCATCTAGATAACAAATTTTACAATCTAATGTGCTGTCGTTACAATTCCATCGAGGAAATAACCGTATTTGCTAAATCTCATATTGTTGTCATGTGTTTTAAAGAAATGAAGCGACTGCACAAAGCCACCGTAATAAAACCGTTCCACTCGCCGTATAACTGAATCTCAGTACATAACTATTAAGCCATAAATTTGTAATCTAGCTCTAACAAGTCGAATTACAGGTCACATCCTCCGTTTATCCTCCACAGCCAGCAGTGTTCACATTTCCGTTCGCATCTCAACCTTACTCGGCAGCGCAATCAGCGTATTATAATCAAATCAGAGGAGTCGGATGGTGATCTAACGGAAGCACAACACGTTATGGCTAAACGATGGGATTTGATGAACTAGCAGTTCAAACTGTTTAATCTAAAATACGTAGTGAAGTAATTCAAATGCACAATAATCCATCCTCAATAGTCATCAATCACTAACAAATAATTGTCGTGTAAGCAGCTCTATATCTAGTAGACATCTTCTTAAATGCTATGACATCATATCTCTGCGTACTTATAACTTCTACGGAAGTGTAGGTACGACAGTAAAAAGAGCTTCATTATCCTGAACAAGCATTACGAAGCCTTTGCTGATCTGTTACGTGAAATTCCGTCCTTTATTAGATGTACTGAGCAGCTGCTTTTCTATTACCATACTCCAAATATGTGACCTGCTTCGATTTTCTCTAGGCTTTCCACCATTCCAATTTACCGGTTAGAGATTTGTCTCAGTGAGTGATGCGGTGATTATCTTTCTATTGATATACCTATAGACATGTTTTTATGAATTGCCCTTGTTTAGCTGACGTGAGGTTGGTATATATATATGTATATATATGTATATATTATATATATATATATACATATACATATATAATATATACCCCAACCTCGCGTGAGCTAAACAAGGTCAGTTCATAAAAATATATATGTAGATATATCGACCATTTATGCCAAGTTTTATAGAAAGTGGATGTTTTGAGTTATCTTCTTATTGTTCTTCTTATTATGTATGGTCTAATCTGAAATATCTTTGCAATCGGTAGTTTGCTTGAAATAACGAGCAATTATAGTGTCAACTGACCTCAAGCAACCACAATTTCTAGAGCAAATTCTCAACATACCGTGTCTTACAAGATGTTAAGCTCTTATCAGCCTGTTTTTAAGCTAAAAATTTAGCACTAACAACTATGCAGTGGAATTTCAACCTTTCCACATAAAATGACGCCCTATAGCTTAACGATAGTTCAGAGACGCAGGCGTATCTACACCAATCTAATGTTTTCGGGTTCCTTAAATATAATTTCTAACCGATGAAATGAAGAAATCTGTGTCTGTTGAATCTGAGACGTTTATCTTATGATCTCTCTCAAACTCTGTGAAAGAAAAGGCCATTCGTTAATAAACATTTATAGTCTATACTTGACATTTTCAACCTAATTTCTTGTCTTTGTGTCTCCTAGAGATATGAACTCGCAAGTTATACGGATGAGAAAATGCACGGTCACAAAACTGACATTTGTGCGGTTTCTCGCCTGAACAGAAATCCATTCAGTAAAACTGTACTCAGAAGTAGTAATGGACGCCTTATAGAAGACACCTCACCAGTGTGCGTTTTAAGATGTGACTTCAAATTTGCCTCTAACGAAAAAGCTCTCGAACAACCGTTGACTTCACACTGAAATACAAAAACGCAGTGTTCGATAAAATAAGAGTAGGTAAGAGATTAAAGGAACGCGTACTCGAAACGCTCTTTCTCCTGTGTGCATCAACAAATGTCGATTGAGTTTCGTTTTCTCAGCAAACCTACGTCCACACTGTTCACAAGAATGTGTCCGCTCCGCGTGAACTTTCGCATGTTTTCGCAACGCTGTGCGATTTCTTAAAATTGATGTGCAGCCCTAAATAAAAGGTTAAAGGATAAGCTCTCGGCATTGATCTCTCCTTGAGGAATGACCCATGCATCCGACTTCATCAGGCAACGTTAGAGGTGTCTGAATACATGTCTGGCCTTTGCAATTACTGGCGGTGGCCTACCGATGTGTCGAGCCAGTACTGCTATGCTCCCAGACAAGTCCGGTACCAATTTACTGACCCTGGAGAAATGGAATGCTTGGTAAGCCTGGGGACGGGGATCGATCCCATGTGTATTACAGGGCGCCTCCGACCACTGTGCTACACGCATCCCATACAGCCCTAAACCCTTCAAAAATACGACTCACGCCTGATATAACCTATCTTTCACCTAATATCGCAAATCTTCACACTTCTCAATTTCCCGGAACAAGTTGCACAAATTGTACATACCTCTACAAAACATGGATACCCTGTTGAGGTCGTTGTTGAATTGGACGATGAAGATGGCTGCCTAATGAAATTATTCGCGAAAAACATTAGAATAACGGAATGAAGAGATCCAAAAATATCAACCTTGCATTTCGCGGATACACATTTACAGGGATATTGAAGCGCTGCACTTCAATTCCAAAGCTCTTCTGATTCCTCGTGTGCTCAAAAACAAAATTGTTCCGGACAATCTTCCAGATATACTGATGTACTGCTTAAGTTTCGCTCACACATTAAAGGATAGATGACCAACTTTACCAATAATTAACGGAATCTTGTTAAGAAATACTCAGAACAGATAGTCACAATCAAGTAAGACGTTGCTAACGCTGAGATGAACTGTAAATCACCCATATGCGCTATTCTAAAAACCATGATTTAGTTGCTTACTGACCTTCTTAGGTTCCTCACTATCTTCATCGCCCAACGGAGAGCCAGCGTTGATCAACGAACCTGTGTCGATGTTCGTTCCACCGGTAATAGAACTGTAAAGGAACAACCCAATGCGCTGAAGCAGTACTAAATTTCCAACAATAACCGCCTTTTTTCATGAAAATACTAACCTAGGTGCACATCTGTTTAGGGATAACGTTTGTAGAAGAAGAGAAACCTTCAGCTTAAGAGCAAGTATTGAGAGGATAGTAGAGTGAAGATGATAACCTTAGTCCAAAGCTCCTATTCGGATTAGGTGAAGGAATCGGAGGTAGGGCTGATGTGTGGGAAGGGTACCATGAAGATGCATTAATGGACGAGAGAGATGGATCCTAAACCAGAAATTGTTTTATAGCTATAAGTTATCACTTAAACACAACGGAAAATCCAAACTGTGGGATACCTGTGTTGAACCGCAACGAGTACAATCTAGATCGTCCAGTGAAGCAGTGTCCGACGATACTGTCTGAATCAAACACAACTGTATGTTGTAAGAACAGGTATACAAAGTAGATAAAAACACCATTGTTAAGCTAGTTCCAGGACTATTTTCCATGGGGCAAGGCGTTTCACTTGAACTAAGAGCACTGATGAGATTACCTGCAAACAGCTCACTGATTCCTTACTCTGGTACAGTATTTGGGAAGTACATTTGGAAACGAAATATCATATAAAATGCGCGAAACCAAAATAGTTCGTGTATTGATCAAGTCGACGCAACGAACACAAGAATATTTGTAGTTCTCATCGTCTTTTACATCCAAACAAGTTGTATTCTCCCAAGGGTTTACCGCCTTCTCATTGTGGCTGGGAGGTGTTCCTGGGTATCGGGCTGCGATGTATGATAGAGGGATTTATCCACCTGGCATGGTCACTCAAGCTGAGGTGTCCTGTGTTTCCATCAGGAAGTCCAGTTAAGAGTAAACCAATACCAAGATCGACCACCGTCCTGGTATCAAAGTAGTCGCATGGTGGCAAATCTCCCTCTGATCGACAAAGGTGGCGAGTGCCTGGAGTGGTGACGACCAAGGGCAGAGTTTAGCTAAGCTGACCTCGGGACTCCAGGGAACCACAGTGGCTAAGCCAGCAAAACTCCGAGAAAATGGAATTTATGCTGGGGCCCGCACAACCAGTGACGACGGACCATTCAAGTATCCAAGTAAACAAGTTGTGTAGACAGACGTGTCTTTGAACAATTGGCCTTTCATAGACAGGATGCAGGAGCTCTGATTTGTGAAGAAGTACAATCTCTTAAACACCAAGTACCCCTATATTCCTGGCACCACATTACAACACCCTAACAAAGATAATTCAATTTCAAAACTTTCAGCGATAAACCTCAGACTCACAAGAGAAGCAGGAATTTAACGAAACCTACCAGAACAGTGGGCCCATGCAGTCGTCTCAAACCGTCGGCTATCTGTCGTTATAACGACTTTTTTCGGAAACCACGAACTTGGAGCAGTACAATCGATGTTTATTTTCCGCATTACGGAAACTTTAAGATCCTAAAATGAACAGAATCCTTAAAGAAGTATCCCTTGTGAAAATTAACACCGCCTCCTGCTTAAGAGTTACCATTCGACCGCTCAAGTTGCTAGTGAGCTGAGCCTCATTGCGTTCTCCGACTACGGTGTAGTCCTTCGTGACTGAATCAGAGACGTCTTTCTCCTTACTGGATGAAGTGTACACCACCTTTTCTCCAGCAACGCTCTAAACAGCCATAATGGTGCTGAGATATTTGCAAAATTCCAGACCGTAGGGGCTTGGGGTGGGAAACGAAGGCGCTATAACTCTTTTCGAGGGCTAACACGTTCACCACCACACCAAGAGTGTCTTATGTTTCGCCTGTCTCTCACTCTAAACTTTCTGTTCTGTTCGATCTAAACAGCGACACCACTCAAATTTGACAAATACTGTACCTAAGCCACAAATTTTACGACACACTGACTGCAAATTTATTGTAGGGAAGCAGGCAGTTGGCAACAAAAGTGGAAATCCATGGAGAAAGAACAAAGCAGCGATATTAAAGGACAAGAGATAGATCTCTCGGAGGTGACCAATTTCTGCAAAATGCGCCATGCATTCTTCAACTTCATTAAGCATCGTTGGAGGTGAATGAATGCATATCTTGCCCTCACGATGACTCGCGGTGGCCTACCGATGTAACGAGCCAGTGCTGCTAAGCTCCCAGACAAATCTGGTGCCAATTTGCCGATCCCGGAGGGATGGAGCGCTTGGTAAGTCTGTGGCGCGGGGATCGATCGCATGTCTATTGCAAGCTGCCTCCGGCCATTGCGCCACAGGCCCCTTCTTCGTTGTAATAAAGCGACCAAAAATATGAAGCTATGCAAGATATCCTTAGCATAATTAGTCTCTGCAGTGAAACTGTATGGCACTGTCCTCTTTAAACAGCGATTTATGCCATTTCACTTTCTAAATGTTTTTCAAACTGACGCATCATTAACTTCAGCATGTTGGAGAAGTAACCGAATTAATGCCAAATAAACTCACCATGAGGCATGTGTGGGGCAGTGGTCGGAGGCGCCCTTCAATACACATAGTAACAATCCCTGCGCCCCAGGCCTTCCATCTCTCCAGGGTCGGCGAATTGGTAACAGACTTGTCTAGGAGGATAGCAGCACTTGCCCGATATACCAGTTACACCAGCACGCCACCACGAGTCAGTGTAACGGCCAGATATGCATTCAATCACCTTCAAACGATGCTTGATGATGTCGAATGCATGGTGCATCTATCGGGGAATGATCAATGCCTAGAGTTTCATCCTTTTATTTTTTAAACCCACCATGCTATCCGCATCGATTTCGTATGATGACAGGACTGAACCAATATCTCCCTGTGAATACAGATCAGGGGAATACATCTTCAGAATCGAGACTGTCCACCCCAGATCCAGTCACTTAAAGCTGAGATATTTCTCCAAGACGTTGAATTAAGCATTGCTGTCGCACCCGCGTACAAACACTATATCCAACGGAGAAATGTGGCGCCTCCACTTTACCTTGGGATTCCCATCGAATTTCGCTATAGTTCACCGAACGAGACAAGTTTCCCACTTTTCTTTGATATGAAGTGATGTTTCTAAAGCTTTGGATTGTTGTTAGGTTTTATTTTGTAGCACTATTTTCTAAGTCGATTCCTGCGCCCCTGGCCCACCAAGCTTTCCATCGTTCCAAGGTCGGCAAATTGGTACCGGTCTTGACTGGGAGGATTGCAGCACTGACTCAAAACATTTCTGGGCCACCGCGAGTCAGTGTAATGGCCAGATATGCATTCAGTCACCTCCAAACGATGCTTGATGATGTCGAATGCATGGTGCATCTCTCGGGGATTGATAAAAGCCGAGATTTATCCTTTTATTTTCTTAATAATCGAGTGGTTGTCTAACAAATTCATGGTTTTCCCATTTTTTCTACTTTTTGAGTCAATATATACAGATCATTTCTTTTTTCGGTCCCTTATTGAGAGTACACAGTTGATTTCATCCGATGTCACTACGCTGCAAATGGACGGAGATCGGCTTTCCCTTGATATCGTATCGATTGGTTTGTAACCCGAATCGTTCTGTGGATCTCTTGCATGGAAACGTACGGCTTGGCCCATTCGTCGTTCTCTATCAATTGTTGTTTTCCTTATTTGTTACCACTTTGTTAAACTTCATCTTTCAGCAGTAGGTGATGGATGGATTGTTGGATGAAAGCTTAGGCGATAAATCACCGCTGACTTCCCGAAGTTCTATTGAGGATATCACGCAAGAATTGGATGTTTTTCATGAGTACTCGGAAGAGAAACAGGTAATATAACGTCGCTGTGCACGGGAATTTTTCTGGGGTCCACACAACCAGTGAGGACCGACCATCCAAGTGCCAAAGTAAGAAAGAAGCATGGCTTGTGAGGTTCAAGAGACCAATCACTATGTCGTCTACGATTTTTTCTTAAGCTTCTATCTTCTAATTTTTGATTATGTGATGACAGAGACATAAGATGGTGATGATTAATGTTATGTTACTATGTAGAAGAAGAAGAAAGTTCGCTCTTATTCTATTTTTGCACCATTTTTTTTTGTTTTAGAATTCTTCTAAGCGAAAATCTCCCATGGATTTTACTTCTCAGGGAAAACGTTACGCTAGGAGTTTAAGGTTAGTCTATTGTTATATAAAGCTGCAGTATAGGACAGAAATGTGTTGTCTCTTCACTTTATGTGGATTTGGCCGTTCATGTATACCGTTAGTAGTGCCAATTGTGTTAAATATAAGTTACCCTAATTATGCGATCGGTTGGAACTGTTCACTGTGTTAAATTTAAGATGGTTGTAGCAGTATAGCAGGGTCGGCTTATTGTATTGCAAAAAATTTACCACACATCTGAAGGTCAAGTGTGTTAAACTCACTAAAGATTTATTCTGTGAGATACGTCTACATGACAAGTTCCATTTTTTGCGAACATTATTTTCAGTGATGACATCTGTTTTTATAAAAATATCTGTAATAGCCACAATGGTGCTGAAATATTTGCAAAGCTCTGGACTGCAGGTGTCTGTAGTGGAGAACGAACGTGTTATTACCCTTTCCGGGGCTAATGCGTTCACCGCCACACCATGAGTGTCTCTTGTTTCGCCTTTCTCTCGGCTGTTTTTATTCTTTTTTAATGTCCTTAATAACATGTTTGAAAGTTTCAGTATTTATAACTCGTCGAGTATATCTTTTACTTGACATTCTGTAGGGGTTGTTATGTGGTCTTACAGGAAATAACTCTTCCTTGACATAATATTACTTCACTGTTTTTCTTGTGCTTTTAAGTTTTTCTATGGACTCTGACGAAGAGGCGACGTCGCAGACTGTTACTGAAGATGCGCATTTAATTCGTCCGTGGGTCGATCAGTTTCAGGTTTGAAGATTCTCATTGATACAGCTAATTTTGTAAGCATTCACTAATTCTGACCACATCAAGAAACGGAATTCGTTTTTTTTCTGATTGTATGATTAAAATAGCGGCGAATTTGGCGTAGTGGTCGAAGGTGCCCTGCATTACACACATAGGATCGATCGATCCTCACGCCTTTGGCTCACCGAGCCTTCCATCTCTCCGGGGTCGGGAAATTGGTACCAGACTTGTCCGGAAGGATAACGCCACTAGCTCGATACATCAATAGGCTACGGCGAGTCATTGTAAAGGCCGAATATGCATTCAGTCACCTCTTACGATGCTTAATGAAGCCGATTGCGGTGCGGCGCATCTCTCAGGGATTGATTCACGCCGAGAGCTTTATCCGTTCTAGCTTTATAATTAAAAGTGGTTTCATTACTTGAGAATATCATTAGTATATGAGGATTTGCGGATATTTCCTTTAGGCAATGTCTCGTCGATGTCAGCGTACTGCTCTTCTCCACTTGATTAGTACTTGTGGGTTGCAGCATGTACGCCACGTGCGTCAGCTTATAGAACCACATTTCCAGAAAGACTTTCTGGCTTGTCTACCTATGGAGGTGATCAGGTTTCGTTGTAGATTCAGTAGTAATGTTCTAAGACTTATTATCTTTTAAGCTGGATAGCACAATTGAAGAAAATTTGTGAAGCTTTTTCATTACTGTTCATGAACTTCTTCATTTACCGTAGGGATATATGCTTCAGTTTGTGTTAATCAATGCAGTTTTTCAGTTAGCTATACAAATTGTTGCGAATTTGCCTATGAACGATATTGTACGTGCAGCAAGGGTATCCCGGTTTTGGCGTGGTATATGTGAGGATGATCGTATGTGGAGGTTGAAATGTGAACGAGAGGGTCTGGAAGCTCTGCCAATACCAAGGTGGACGAATTAAATAGAAGTTGCACCGTTAATAAGTTCATTATTTTTACTATTTAGCAAGCATTACTCACAAACTTTTTTTTCTGAAAACCTACTGCAGGTTTATCACCAATTATGTCTATATCTATTTGGAATGTAAAGGTGTTATTCCAGTGAACGAGTTTCTGGCGCGTGGGAGCAAACCGCTATGGGTAATGGTGTGACAATAGTTGACCATTATAAAGGAGTGGAGCTGGAACAACACAGAAAGACGAGAAAACAGAGTTATGGAAGGTGAGCATCGCGCCTCGAGGTCGTTTCGTGATTTCATTTCTTGTGCTCCACATTTGATATAATTTTAGATGTAACAAACAAAAATTTTGGGTGTAAGCTGATGTCTTAACTGTGGAATCCGACTCAATGTTGATTGTGTCGTTTATTTTCAGATGACACCGAGCTAGTGTTTGGTGTATGACGCAAAGCTGTTAACACACAGCTTTTAGTTGTTCTAGCTGCATAGCACTGTCATCTACTTCACCTATCATCTCGTTGATCGTCGACCTGGTACCAGTAAACCTTCCATCTTTTCCTACCGCATGTAGGAATAGCCCAGTTGGTCATGCTCGCTTTAGGGGCTCGTTGCGTGTCATATCCTTATTGGATATTCGTGAAGAACGCTAACCACCGGATCGTTCTTTTTCCTTCTGTGCGTTTGAAACCCTGAGGAATCCAATCGCTAACGGCTGTTGTCCATCGGTTGTCGTCCATACACATTACGGATCTGGCTTACCTTATCACGGTCGATTTTTAGAACGGCGACTTTGATCTCTGATCGTTGGCGTGGGTTGGAGCTTAGAGTCCACTCACTCACTTGCGTGATACGGCATACTACTAACATTCTCCCCTCTACTTCGCGTCCCATCACGCTGAGTGACCCTTCATTCTGCATACGTAGCGAACAGGTTCCTCACGCATACGTGAAGGTAAAGGGAATCATAAAATAGAAAAGAGGCTCCCATATACAGCGTTGAGAGCAGAGCTTCTGGAATTCTGAGTTTCCATGAATGGTCGTGTTCGTCATGATAAACTCTGATAGCATTACACTCTGGTCGCTCCGCTTAATCCGTGGGTTGGAATACGACATTCTTCAGACATTTTTCTGGGTCCAATCTTATCGTTAAAATTTCCAATGACTACCTTAAAGAATCCAAGTTTTGCAATTATCTCAACATCATGGTAGTTTATTTCACATCATGCCCTGCCAAAAGAAGTAGGAATAAGCAGTAAATAGAGAGTAAGTTGTTGAAAATGTTTCTCATGCAACACTTTTGTGGTCAAATGTTTTTTCGTTTAGTGATCCTGTGGTTGGGCATATTTGCCCTGGAGTCATTTAAGTTGGATATGTCAAAAGTAGAGCATATAGTTCTCGTCATCTCCCATGATTTCTCTTGCTTAAGAGCTGTGGTAGTCATCATAATCCGAACCACAACTTTTTTTTTTCGCAGCTCACTTAACCGGTTTTATCTCATTAAATAGGACTATTTCCACCTCCATTCAGTATTATGATTTCACTAGTCGTTGTGTTCATGAAGTTCTTCTCCACTATGTATCGGTGATATTCTTTTGAAGATTTGTCTTGTCACTTCCATATTTTATAGTATTTTGGACGTAATAAACGAGAACTGTGTTTATCTTTTGATCTCTTTTCCATTAATGTAATGTGTTTTAGTTTAACTCGTATATAATGCTGAGATATTTGCAAAACTCCGGACCGCAGGTGTATGCGGTGGGGAACGGACGCGCGCTATTGTACTCACCGGTGAGTAGCGCACTTCACCACCACACCATCCGGGTCCTTCGTTTTGCCTGTCTCTCAGTTAGTTCTATTGATCTTTTGCCATCAGCAAAAGAACTAGCTGAGAGACAGGCAAAACGAAGGACCCGGATGGTGTGGTGGTGAAGTG